GACCTCTTGCATTTGACCATAAAGGTAGTGCTGTCCTTCTACAAGACCTTTACGGTAAGGTGCCCCTGGGGGTTCAATCCACAGTACCAAAAAAACCAAAAAAMCAAAAACAAAAAACAAAACAACAACAAAACCCCAAAACCTTTTAAATCTCTAAAGTTAAACAAAACAAAACAAAACTGCCCCAGACTTTTACCATCATTGGAGCATCATAGGAATTGATCACTGAGCTAAGAACTTTATGGCCTTATAGAAAGATAGCACTACCCATGAAGAGAGGAGTTGGAAGGCCCCTGCAGTAATCTTAATAGCCGAGGGAGTAGTCTTAACAGCTGTGCAAGCTGAAACTCTCTGAGCCTTGGTTTCCTTGTTTATGAGCTGAGGAATAATATATGCCTTGCAGGGTTATTTCAAGGAGTACCTGAGATAAGCGTCTAATTTGTTAAGGATCATGCTTTGGTAGATGATGTGGGAGATGCTCCCATGATTGTAAAAGTCTATTTTGTTTTTTAATAGTACTCGGGACTGAATCCCAGTCACTTTACCCCTGAGCAACATCCCCAGTCCTTTTTGCTTTTTATTTTGAGACAGCATCTAGCTAAGTTGCTGAGGGTCTCGCTCAATTGCTCAGGCTGGCCTTGAAGTTGAGATCCTCCTGCCTCAGCCTCCAAAGTCATTGGGATCTTAGGCACACACCACYGCGCCTGGATGTATAAGTCTGTTTTTGAAGAGAACCTTCTGTTCCAAGACCCCTTAAAAGTACAGGAGAAATATCAGGGATGTAGTTTAGGGTTGGGTGGGTCCAACCTTTGATCCTCTAGGGATTGGGTGACAACGACAAAGGGTAAAAGCTAATGTTCAATAATCACTTAAAAGGTGTCAGGCACTGTTGCAAGAACTATATATGAATCTCGTCATTCAAACTTTTCAATAACTCTCCTGAGATAAGTACTGCCACCATTCCCATGTTATAGATGGGAAACCTGAGGGTCAGAGGACATTGTTTAAGAAAGCATTGACAATCTATGGCACAGCCAAGATGCAAACCCAGGTGACTTGGCTCCAGGGCACCCCCTTGTGGCCACCATCCTGCACCTGTGCCCCCTGGGACCCTGCAGACCGAGCTCACCTGTGCTGTTGAGGTTCTCCTCGCAGGATTCCCAGAGCCCCACGTGGAGCCGGCGCTGAATAAATTTATCGTCCCCTATTTCCCAAATATACAGGACCACCTGGCTCTCGTCCTTGGTGCCATAGCTGCTGTTGGGCCGTCTGAAGTGAATGCAATTCTTCCCGTGCAGCTGGTCGAGGCACAGCGGCTTCGTGACCTTCCGTGCCCCTTCACACCAGTAGCTGCTGCTCACAGCGGTGAGGGAGAGGGCGAAGGCCAGGCAGATGGGGAGGAGGGTCAGTGCCTGCTGCTGCCTGGCCCTGTCCATGACTGAATGAGGTGCTCGACTGCAGGCTGAGCCGTGGGGCCAGTTCCTCCCCTCTTTATCATGGTCCCCACTCCTCAGCCCTGCCATCTGGCGTCCTGACAGTCCCCTCAGGTCCCCTGGGAAATCAGAGTGCTCTCCGGTGTGCTGCATCCACGTGAGCATGGTGGCGGGAGAGGGCTACACTCAAATGAACACAGAACTGGGACACAGGGTTGAACCTTCAGCCCTCCCCGGGATGGAGATGTGCAGGASGGCAGTGCTTGATTTTAAAAACTTGTGGTGAAATAGACATAACATACAATTTACCGTCTTGACCATTTGGAGCGTGCAGTTCAGTGGCATTGAATATGCACACGCTATTGGGCAACCACACTACCATCCACCTCCAGAACTCTTGCAAAACTGAAATGTGGCACTCACTCACCAGTACTTTTGCAGAAACTTTTTCAGCAAAATAATATTCCATTGGGTTTATTATATCACATTTTTAAAAAATCTGTTTCTCCATTGATGGACACTTGGATTGCTTCTGCCAGTTATTGTGGAGAGCACTATTTTTTGTTTGTTTGTTTGTTTTGTGATGTTGTGGCTGGAATCCAGGTGCSTGCTAGGCAGGCACTCCACCACTGAGTTACATTATCAGCCTTTTCCCAATTTTATTATGAGACTAAGTGGCTCAGGTTGTCCTCAAACTTGAGATCCTCCTGTCTCAGCCTGCTGAGGGGCTGGGATGACAAGTGTGTGCCATTGGGTGCAGCTGAGAGTGCTGGTTTTGACTCAAGTCCAGGGTCCATTTGGATGGGTGTCTGGGTGGGTCTTCCACACCTTGCCGTTTGCATGGAGCAGGGTCCTCACTATTAGATTACAGTACAGGACATTCTGAGGACTCCATGGGCTTGCTTCTTACCCAGCCCTATATAGAGAGACAATGCAGAGGACAGCTGCCTTGTGCAGGGACTCTGAGATGGGAGGTACAGGCAGGCTGTGCAGAATGGGGAGGCTGGCATAGACTCCACTTGGGTGCAGAATTCACCATCCTGGAGCCTAGATACTGACAGAACCCTCAGCACCATCACTAATGTCCCTTTGAAGGTGTCTGACAGGTGCAGTGATGCTGAAGGTCCTTCAGGAACTCTCTCAGTGCAGGTGTGTGGGGAGGCTGGGCATCCTCCCTGAGTGCCCTTCTCTGGGATGGGATTGGGGTGAGGTATGGAGGATCTCAGAGCCTACAGAGCATCTATTGCCATTTACTTAAGCCTCGGGAATTTAAAAAAAAACTCTATGGGGATGGCAAAGGAAAGGCAATTAAAAGCTCCAGGAAAAGTAAAAAAGCTATACAAGAAYGGTAAGAAGCCTGAGATGAGGAAGCAATGGAGGGGGTGGGGGCAGAATATTCTGTGTGGCATCCAAAATATGCAGGGTCTTGATTACATGTTAGATCCTGAAGACCCCCAGATATAACCAAGGATCTACCTGCCTGAGAGAGTAGGCGAGACGTGTGCGTTCCTCCTACTACGTGGGTGCTTTTCCGCTGGAAAGCCTGAGAAACTGCGTCCAGGGCTCTGCAAACCATGGGCGCCTATGCATGCTGGTGGCTGCYCTCTCTTGGCAAGAAGCTTTACAGCATTTTTGCCGCTAGATGGCATCCATCCAACGAGAGGGGAAGTCGAGTGTGGACCTSACACCTGTTCCTTTGGGAAAAGAATGTTTTAGAGAAAAAGTTTGAAGAGGGGAGATAGGAGATTCCCACAAAGCAGGCACTTTCTTTACCAGCCGGGCACTTGGAGGATCGTCCTTACTGTGCAGTTACAGTTATAGCTTTCCAACTATAGYCAGTGTGTCTGAGCCCATCCCTTGGGGACTTTCCTCCTCCTCTAGCACTTCATCCTGCTCTCTGCTATACACAAGAGAGGACCACATGGATTCCAGAGCTCTGTGCCATCCTAAGAGTCCACACTGGGGCTCTTTGTTAGGATCRAACTTTGTACTACTGAGGTTTAAAATCTTCCTATGTGGGGTTCCACAGGTTTCTGTTAAGTAGTGGTCACCTGTCCCCTCCCCTCCCTACCCCAAGTTTCAGAATTCAGAGTGAAGTTGGCCAAGATGGGTTGACTTAAATGGAGACAAGGGAGGGAAGGGAGGGAGGGAGGGAGAAAGGGAGGAAGGAAAGGAGGAAGGAAGGAAGGAAGGACGGACAACTTAATGGAAACATTTTGCTGACACATCTGCATACCTTCCATCTGGATCTCCTGTTTGGGAGGCTGGAAAAAGTTGGAAAGATATGCTAAGGGGAGGATGAGAAGGGCCAAGAAAATCCCCCCACTTTTTTTTGGTACCAGGGATTGAACCCAGGGGAGCTTAACCACTGAGCCACATCCCCAGCCCTTTTTATATTTTACTTAGAGACAGGGTCTCACTAGGTTGCTTTGGGCCTCCCTAATTTGCTGAGTCTGGCTTTGAACWTGCAATCCTCCTGCCTCAGCCTGCTGAGCTGCTGGGAGAATAGGTGTGTGCAACTATGCTGGGCCCAGGTAGACCCTTTTAAAGACATGTTGAGCCTGCTAAAGAATAAGGGATCACCCTGAGAAGGTGGGGGTGGGGAATGATACCTTCCTGAGCTAGCTGTGGTCAGGTGACTATGATCAGAAGACCTGATTCTGCCTTTTACTTGCTGTGTGGCCTTGGGCAGGCACTCTAACCTCTCTGAACCTTGTACCTATAGGTGATTCTGGKGAGGATGAATGAAGTAGAATAGTGGATGAAAAGTCTGCAAACGTGAATTGGGGTGAGAAGGTGCAGAAGTGTTGGTTAGTAAGTGATGAGCACGCATTCCATAAAAGGATCTGCTAGGTGGGCTGAGCGACATTGTGTTCAGGAGAACAAAACGTTGTGTTCAGAACAAGTGGGCATTCAAGAGGAGTGAAGTTTGGATTGTTCCACGCCAGGCTTTGCTATTGTGTCCGACCAAAACCTGAGTCATTGATTGTGTTTTTCTTTTTTGCTTCAGTCCCTGGGTCAGGAGATGATGGATTTTGGCCTGGGTCACTGTCTTGTCTGTTCTCCTGGCATAATCAGGAGCCAGAGATGGCCCTGCTTCTGAGTTGATCAAGCAAGTCCCACTTCCCTGAAAAAGACACCAGTATCCCAGGTGTCTGGAGGTCGCCCTGTCTTACCAGCTGCTCCTTGGCCACTTGAACCCCAGCCTGTCTCCTCCTGGCCCTGTGCATGGAGCAGAAGCCTCGGGGTGGAGTCCAGCGAGCGCTTGCTTGCTATTTCTTCTGGGCCTGCTGAGGAAGTTGCCCGGAGCACAGCCAACTTGGGGAAGGTCTGGGAAAAGTCTCCCTGCCTTTGGGGGGGGCGGGTGCTGGAGGGGGATGAGGAACTTGGAGATTCGGTAGATCACTCTGGATCCCTTCAGACACTCTCTGCACGCAGCGGCGGCGTGCAGAGGATTTGTGCAAACACTTCCTCTCTGGACAAGGAGGAATGCAGGAGGAGGCTGCCTGTGGTACATCTTGGACTGCTGGAGGGATGTGTCCGCACTTGTGAAAGGGTGCCAGGAGGATGAGGCCCCAGCTGAGCCGGGCAGGGCCGGGGAGAGGCAGCCCGGGGTCCTTGCCTGGGGTCCTGCCTAGGAGCATCTCTGCTGCGGGAGGCACCGGCTCCYTCCTTTCCCATGGAAAGCACTTGCTCTGGGCCCCTGGGAGGCCCTTCCTCACCCTGGTGCTGCTGGTTTTCATCAAGCAAGTAAGAGAAGTTCTTTCTTCTGTATTAATATGTTATTTGTGCTTATTTTGTAACTGTCAAAGTCATTTAGGTCCCTTGTAAAGAATTCAGAAAATAGAAAACAGTATTAAGAAAATAATGATCATCCAGAATCCTAGCATTCAGAGATGATCACTGTTCATGGGTTGGGATCTTTTCCTTAAATCCTTTTTCTATGCATTTTTTTTTCCACACAGCTGAAATGATGGAGCATAAAATATTTTGTATCCTGGCTTTCCATTTACAACATATTACAAGYATTTTCCCATGTTGCATAAAGTCTGCGACCAGCATTGGAAATTGCTGCCTATATCCTCATTGATTTTATTAGCACTCTCAGTGTTTATATCGAATGGATGGTTTTTCTATTCTTTTCTTTTTTCTTTTCTTCCCCCTTCCTCCTTCCTTTCCATTCTTGCTTTCATTCTGTTTATAAAATATAGAATGTGAAAATATAAAAATATAGAATGTTAAAAAAATAAAGACCTAAGCTATCTAGTATATAAACTACAAATCACTGAAATTCCACCAGCCAGAGATCACCCTTGTTTACATTTGGGAAACTTATCCTGCCGGATATTTTTCTACCATTCATTTACATACGATTTAGAACAGTAAACATAGGGTCCTACTATAAGTGTTATTCTGTAATCTGTTTTTAATAAAAAACAGCACGAATAATATGAATACACAGATACATAATTGGCATCAGGTCCTGTGCCAGGCACACAACCCCTTATCTCATTTCATGTTCTCAGCAACACGGAGAGTGGAGTGCTCTTGTGAATCGCATTTTAAAGATGTTGGGAAATGGAATCCTGGGAGATGAAGCAACATCACCTGTCAATAAAGGTAGATCCCCGGCAGGGTAGTCGCAGGCTTTCAGGATCTATTGTGATGTCCSTAACTGCCCTCTGTACTTGGGTTTTCTGGTAGCTTGACTTCTTCTTGCCTGGGGAGATTAGACTTTTGCCCCTTGGCTTTCCAAGGTACCCCCCCCCTTTTTTAAATACCAGACTATGATGGGAAGAAACTCCCAATTCCACAGTAAGAAAGCAGCCTAGGCAGCCTAGGCAATGGTGGTCTTCCTCCTCGGGTTCCTTTCACAGGGTTAGCCCCTGAACGTGAAGTTTCCCCTTCCCCCGAGGGCGAGGGCTGGGGCGCTGAATCTCAGGTTCTCTTGCTCAGCTTTTCCGTGGTGCTGACCYGGGACTAGAGAGGCAGAAATCTCCTGTCAAGTATCCTACATGCAATCTCTCCCACAGGCTCCTCTCCAGCTCTCATGGCTTGCAAATGGGAGCCTAGCCCCTGGTCTCGTGGGATTTTTGCTATGGCTGGCAGACTCCTATGGAGTGTTCAGAACATCCCTAAGGGCCAGGTGGCCCTGGTCTGCCTGTGGCTCCAGGGCTTCCATTGTTAGCGGTGGAGCCCCTTTGGGGAGAGGTGATGCTGAATTCTGGACCTTGTTTCCATTCTCAGTTTATTTCCTATGAAAACTGAACGCGTCCAGTTAATTCCCTTGTTCTGTTCGCCTTCTATCCACACGCCAAGTGCCGCGACAACATCCCACTTACTGTCATGCAGCGATCCCCACGCATCATCTTGCTGAATGCCTACAGCCAGGAAGGGTAGTATTCCTGAACCCATTTTACAGATGGAGAGAATAAGTCTCAGAGGAGTTCCAACCTTGCTTTCCGGCACGTAGCTCATGGAGCAGGGGAGCCGTTGGTCTCCCTGGGTGTGTGGGGGGGTGGGGGCTGCGGGTTGAAGCCCTGTGTGTTCTGTCTCCTCTARCCCTCTTGGGAGATGTTGACATATGACCATTTATATATAACAACAGCAGAATCTGCAGTGCCTCAGGCTGACTTACAGTGCTGACAAAGCCACACCTTAGCCCTTTAGCTCTGGCATTTCCATAACCAATAATGTGCCTGCTGATGGGGTCCCCTCACCCCCCAATGCCCAGCCTGTCTGTCCCCCAGCGTGTGTCTGTGATTCTGACGAGCCTGCTCTTGGTTCTCCATCTCCAACCTTGTACTCTTTCTCCAGATGTTTATTTTACAAGGCTTTGCGTAGACGTTAGTTCATGATGGAGCTTGCTCATAGACGCTTTCCCCTGCCTGGAATATAAATGACCCTTGCCTGTTTGTTGGCAGGAAGTCTTCATAAAATTCAGTTAATGAGAAACTCGGAGGGATAGTTTAGTTTCTAAATACAAGCAAGGAAATAGTGCTAGCTCTGCACACACCCACTCACTCATTTATGGTATTTCGGAGTTATTTTGGCATGGAAAAACGTAAACTATGGAGGAAGACTCTTGGAGAAGTGGATTTTATACATGGCCAGTATGCAGAGTTTTAAATTGAAAAAAAAAATCACTTCTGGATGAGAATAAATAGTTCGATAGTATGTTGTCCAAAACCTTTAAAAATGTGTGTGCTCAATGACCCATACATTCCAATTCAAAGAACTTCTGTGAAAATAAAGATGTGTGCTCAAAATGTTTAGCCATGAGGATGTTTCTCTCATCCTCCTTTATATTAGCAAACATCTGAAAACAACTTGGATGTTTAATGCTGGAGGATTTGAAAGCTGAGTTATATCACACTCATTCATGGGATAATGTGTCACTCTTAAAGGGTATTTTTGATTATGATGTGTTTCTTGGAATGAAGATCTATTCGAAGCATGTCTTCCAAGGGAAAAATAAAAAGGCCACAGAACAATATGATTTCCTTTTTGGTTGGAATAAAACAGAAAAACAAGAAAGTAAAATACACACACGGGCAGAGAAGGGTGTGGAAGTCAATGGTGATTTCTGAGTAATGATATTTTGATTTCACCTTCTTCTCTTTGGTTATCTGTGATTTCGACTTTATCTACAGTGAAGCGTATTCCTTCTCTAACAAAGGAAAATAGATTTATTTAAACAGTCAATAGGAAAGGATCTGCCCCTCCCCCCCTTTCTTATTCCCTTCTCAGCCAAGTTAGTCATGGATGCTGGTCACCTGTGCATGGGAAAGAGCAGCGAAGTCAAGCTGGACTTTCCAATGAGGAAAACAAAAAAAAAAAAGTCCCACCCATCTGTCTCCTTTCCTCATTATTTGTGGAATTTTTGAACTTGGATGTGCTTCCTTTGTTTTGGATGTCCTTAGGACAAGTACCTGGGAAGACAGCCTGAGTCTGTCCAGCTTCCCTAACTGACCAAATTCAGTAGTTTCTAGCGTGAGTTTATTTTTCTGCTTTTGGCAAAGAGCAGGAGGACAGGGGAATGTTAGTTCAGGGACTGGTTTTATTGCCTCTTCCTTAAAGAGGTCTCAGTGAGGTTTCTGAGGACCTATAAGTAGTGCTTTGTGCAGGAAAGGGTCTCAGGCTGATGACTTTGCAAGTTCTAGGAGTTATTGTTTTGTTATTAATTCATCTGCTGAATTTGTTAAAAAAAATTATATGAGTCAGTTTTGGTCCCCTTTGGATGTTTATTTCTTTAAATAGTATGTTAATAAACTTACTTGTCACCTCTTGGGCCAGAACTTAGAGATGGAGAGAGAGGAAAGAGAAAGAGAGAGAGAGATTGGTGATTAGTAAAGAGTCAAAGCTCATTTCAAACTGAAACAGAGGGATAAATGCCAATTATTGTATCATCATTGTTACCACTTATTGAGGAATATCATGGTTCTCAAACGGTGTGCTAACGGTGCCTCAGGGCACCACTGTGAATTCATAGGGAACTGTTTTAGTTTTTGAGGAAAGCACAGTCATACCTGTCACTTGTCACTAGTAGTGAAACTACTAGCGCAAGGTATTCGTGGTTTTGACATTAGATCACAGTTTCATCCTTTCGAGGACATGGTGTCTTTGAGAAACCGGGTTTTCCTCAGGTGCTGTGGCAAAAAGCAAGTACGGAACAGAATAAAAATCAGTGTGGGAAAGGAAAGGTAAGTGGTGGTGTCTGATCAGTGCCTGGCAGGCACTAAGATGTTAAGAAATAAACATTTATGAACGGTTTGGATGGATCAACTTAGCAAATCGGACTTCTTAGGTCGATCTTCTGGTCTAGGAGTACCTAGGAAAAATTACTGAGACAGTGAGGGAACCAGGCGCTGAGCTAACCATGAACCATGATCTAAGGATGACCGCAGGAGCTCTTCTTCAGAAAGCAGGCTGCATGATTCTCTTGGAAAAGTTGCAAAGGTACAACCCACAGATCCCATCCCAATGCCGCCATGCTGGACAGTGGAGGGAGAGGGTGGGTTGGACTGGTCACTCAGGAGGCAGAACCAGGCCACCCTTTGGGCTCACAGATGGATTGATTTTGGGTGCAGGGGCTGACTGTGCTTGCATGTGTTTAACTACATTTGAATACCTTCAGGCAGAGCAGCTCCCCAGTTTCCTCCACCCTGCTATTGTTGCCCAGTTCTACCTTAGCCTACCTGGCTCAAGAAAGCTTTGAGTTCAATGCCCCTTGTGAGACAGAAGCTCAAAGTCAAGGACAAAGCCATGTGGGGAAGGAGCTGTGGGGACGCAGGGTAGAATGGCACTGGACTTCATATGCCATCTCGTTACCTAGTGGCTTTATCCTTAGCAGCTTGTAAGTGCTTTTCAGGGCAAGGGACACGCTTATCTTTGCACCCCTTCAATTCCTCCTTCACACGAGGCCCTGCCCACAATGGGGCTCTGGAAAGATGCAGTTGAATGAAGGGTGGGAGAGAAGGGCCCTTTTTAAAACCAAGAGAAGTTGTACAGAAAAAAAAACTTCAGTTTGGATCCAAGATGGCAGGCCAGAGGGAGGCAGCATTCAGTGTTGCTCTGAGACCCGGGTCTCAACTAGTGGGAATACTGCTTTGCTGAGAGTGATAGAGGACTCCTCTGCAGCCGATCCTGTGCAGGAATCAGAGCCACCTTGCCCTGCGGGGACCCAGGCCTCAGCATTAGAATAGGAATCCCTGCTACTTGCCCACACAGGTCTCCCRGGTGCCTTAGTG